ATAATAGTTTGTTACATTTATACAAGCCCTGTTTTGGATTTACATCTGTTCTACACTCCAAATTTACCAGTTTAACCTACGATACTTGTACCTGTGACTAGACACATGTTTTCGATTATATATACGTTTGTAGGAGTTTTTTTTTGAACTAATTACTTATTATAATGACAATATGGTTGGATGTTATACTGTAACAGTAGGATTAGGAAGAATAATTTCTAAGCTGATTTATCCAAAACATGTTTTTGCCTTGCTCTCTAAGGTTTGTTATTATACACTTAATACAGGTTATGAAGGCTTGAATGCTAGCTTCAAAGAATGAGTTTTACTGAACAATCCAAGTAAGCTATTCATTGACTATTACACATTATGATGTCGTTAGCCCTATTTTGTATTTCATACATATATAAGAAAGAAGAAAATATCGCACAGCTTTTCGTATAATTTATTGTGTAAATGAAGTTTTTTGTTTTTTATTAGAATTTTCGAGAAAAAATACAAAGGGGCTATATGTCCATAGCCGTCCCTAATTTTCAACTGATAGACTAAAGGAAAGACAGCTAGTCAACAGCACTCACCGAAACTCTTGACTTTTTATTGTCTGGCTGAATAATTTTGCGGCAACGAGATTCAAACCATTAACCCTCAGATTCAGATTCCAGACTCACTAACTACCAGGTCACACCATTCTAGGAAAGTACCCATTTTAAGCCAATTTATGATAGAGAAATCAATTTCATTTATTTGCTTTAATATTCTCCGCACAATATGTTGCTGTGATACTGTTGGACTGAAAACTATTTTTAATAGAGTACAGTACGTTCTTGTGAGGTTCACTGGTTGAATTATTAGAGATTGAAAACATTGAAAATGTGCGATGATAGTTTTAGCTAAACATACATGTATTTGTTCGAAACTTAAACACTTTTACCTTCTGGTATAGCCCGTCAAGTACTACCACCCTCCCCCCTACCCCACAGTATACCCTAACCTCACATTTCATAGCTAACTGAAATAAATAAATTTTGCGAAATCAATCTTGACCAACAAAGAGGCAGAAACTGCAGTCGGGAAGTCATATGTCGGTAAATTCCTTTATGAGCCAATCAAAATCGTGACATATTCATAGAATAATTATTGGTAAAAATCAGTTAGATTAACAAGTTCTAACATATAGAAAAGCCAGTGCGTTTTTGTAACACTAAGTTCCGACAATAGCTTTTATGTCTAGTCGCTTAGCAACAAAAGTATAACCTATTATTGCTGTTGTTAGTCTATGTACTTAAAATGTAAAATGAAATATATAGACAACAAAACTAGAAAAATATTTGTTGCTTTCTTAATTTAGAGTCTCCGTTGAGTAAAAGGTTTTTTAATTAAAAACATTGGTGATATAACAGAAAATAGTTTAATTCAAAAAAGATTTAATTTTAAAATTGAATCGATATTTTTACTTTCATGATAAATTCTATGTACTTGACTCTAGTCTAGGTGATCCCACACTACGTCTTTACTTTAGTCTTATTATACCAACACTCATTACACGTATAAGGTTTCACGGCA